AGATAGGGTTTTGCCATGTTAGCCAGGCTCGTCTCAAACTCCTGACCTCAGGTGATCCCCCCGCCTCAGCCTCCCAAAGTGCTGGGATTACAGGCATGAGCCACCCCACCTGGCCCCATTGTACAAGTTTTTCTCATTTATCTTTAAGGTCCATTCTCCTGGCTGTTTCCCAGGGGAAATCTTCAGTCTAATTCCACATATCCATGGCTGAGGCCTGTTGGAAGTTGAAACCACCTTTGTAGAATTATAAGTCTTGAGATCAATCTAACATAACTGACTCCGTCTTGCTCCTAACCTCATAGGTTAAATCATTTTTTGCTTATTCTATCATGGAGGCCAAGATAACCATGAGAAGAATTTAGTTCATAGTTAAACTTTGAAAGAAAGAAAACTGACTTCCTCCTCATTCAGAGATCGAAGATGCATCTATAAGACAAGATGAGAATTACGGTAGGGTGTGAAGTTTGTTAAGAACAGGGATGGTTAAACCGTGCCTGCCATTGCTTAGCTTGTTTTCTTTAAGTTGTTTACTGCCCCAGAGTCATGTAACTGAGGGTCACCAGATTTGTAATTTCCCCAACCACTCCTATAGATAACATCACGATTGTGAGACCTAAAGGACGGGTCTTTGAGATACTTTTTGGATTTAATGTTTCAGCAGACCAAGAGATGCCACCTGGTCCTAAGACCCGCTCCCAGGAACTGACTGCAGAAACAGTTTGAGACACTCCCATGATTTCATCCCCAGCTGAAAAAGTACAGGTGCTCCTGTGACTTGTGTTGTTTCTGGGTGCAGCCTCAAACCTTAGCTCAATAAACCTCTGCTAATCAAGACACTTGCCTAAGCCACTTTCACTGGTTAACACGCCCTACTCCACCCTCCTTATTTTTCTCCATAAAGCTTATCATCTCCTGACATGCTCCATTCTACATTTCATTGTAGTGTGGAGTTTCATCCTTTTTTTTCCCTAAAATGTCAGCCACATGAAGACAGGGACTTCCTTTCTCTCCATTGCTCTGTCTGCAATGCAAAGGCACTTCTGGTGATGCTGTCTCTGTCGTTGATCTCATGTGACTCCCCCAGCCCTTCCAGTTACTCACAGTGTCATTTGCGGCTTCCCTTCCACTGTGACACTGGCAAGTTTGTGCTCATTGCCTAATGAGGAGACATAATTGGTGACTACATGTATGAATGATAGGAACCCTGGCTTAATTTTTGGGGAGAGAAGCCCCCTGCAGTTTTTTTTAACTTTCCACTAAAAAGTGTTTTTGATGAATTTGAGATGGGATGAGGAGCAGCAAGGTGGAGCCCTCCAGTGTTGTTCGAGGGGATCTATTCCTCATCCAAAATCCCTCCCTACATTACTCATGTAGTAAAAGAAAGCAATTTCTGTGGAACTTGTCAATGTTTTTTAGAAAATATCCATGATTATATAAAAATATGAATATATGAATATTAAATTATATAAATTTCTATCTAAGCATACCAGTTCACTCTATCCCCCCTCAAAAAAACTATTTTTTTTTTTGAGACTGATTGGAGTCTTGCTGTGTTGCCCAGGCTGGAGTGCAGTGGCAAGATCTTGGCTCACTGCAATCTCTGCCTCCTGGGAGAATCAATCGATTCTCCTGCCTCAGCCTCCTGAGTAGCTGGGGTTACAGGCATGCGCCACCACACCCGGCTAACTTTTGTGTATTTAGTACAGACAGGATTTCACCATATAGGCCAGGCTGGTCTTGACCTCCTGACCTGAAGTGATCGCCAGCCTCAGCCTCAGAAAATGCAGGAATTATAGGCATGAGCCACCGCGCAGCCTTCTTTTGTTTTTTAATGTATACATACTCAAGCAAAAAATGGTGGGTTTAATTTATGACTTATAACTATTGGGAATATAACTCTAGAAAAACTATTGCTACAGAGTACTGAAAGTCTTTATTGTAAAGTGCATATATTTTCAAAGTATAATTAGTATGTAGAGAATAAAATATCAGTTTATTCACTTACAATAACATATAAATGATATTTACAGTGAATTGTTTTGAGAAATATAGTTTGATAGTGTTTCAATTAGAATAAAAATGAAGTGCTCAAGTACAGCAGTTCTTCCACTGCAAAAGGAAATCTGAACTTTTTGTGAAGAGAAAGTAATGTAACCAAGTCCAACCTCATTCTGCTCCCACACACCAGCCAATACATCAGGAGACAAGGAGTTAGGGCAAGGAAGGTGACTTTAGTTTGAAGAACCAGAAAATGAAGAAGATGGTGGACGACTGTTCTAAAGAAGCAGCTTAAGTCAGTACAAATGTCAGGCTCTTTTTATGTAAAGGGGTTGAGATGCAGAGGGGGCTGAGGCTGGCAGACACCTGGGAGCCAGCGAGGGTCTGAGGAGGTTGGGAACTTCCTTGTCCTTGGCCAAGTCACAGTGTTCCTATAAATCTCCATCAAAGCATAGTTGTTTATATACTTCTTTAACTTAGCTAAGAGTTAGTTTCAAAAACTATGTGATTGTTATTTTTCATTTTATCTCAGTGCTGTAAAATTATCCTCACCTACGTGCAGGAATAGAAGAAGGCACCTTAAATGGAAATGAAGTTAGTTATGTGAATTATTTTGCTATTTCACTGTTACATTAAGTCCCATATTTCTTGGTGTGTTTCAGAATCTCCAATATTCTTTTTATGTATAAGAATCAACTATGAAGGAGCTGAATGCTGTGTCCACTGCTGTGTCCACTGCTGTGTCCAGCATGTGACGGTGGAGGAATTCTGGCCCAGCAGAAAGCTCCCCTAGATCCACTGGCCTCAGTGACCCTCAGATGCAGTTGGGGTCAGTGAACACAGCCTGGCAGATTGGGAGGCGTTGGTGGAGAGGAGGGAGCAATGCTGCTTTAAGGTCCGGCTCACTGCCGGGGAAGAAGTCAGCAGGGCTCAGCTCAGGCTATTTCTCCACTGTGGTGTAAACAGAGAGACCAAAAAAACAGAGTAGTGCTTTGCCATGCCTTTATTAGTGACTTTTCTCCTGGGCGGCCTCAGGAATACCCTTCAGCTGCACAGTGAGTTGAAAGGGCCTCAGCTGGGCGCAGCGACTCATGCCTGTAATCCCAGCACCTTGGGAAGTCGAGGTGGGCAGTTCACGAGGTCAGCAGTTCGAGACCAGCCTGGCCAACATGGAGATACCCCGTCACTACTAAAAATACAAAAAATTAGCCAGGCATGGTGGCAGGTGCCTGTAATCCCAGTTCCTCAGGAGGCTGAGTCAGGAGTATTGCTTGAACCCGGGAGGCACAGGTTGCAGTGAGCCGTGATTGTGCCACTACACTCCAGCACGGGTGACAGAGTGAGACTTTGTCTCAAAAAAACAAATGAAAAAGGGTCTCTTTTGGAACGTCTTTTTATTTTGAAAAATGATATATCAAAATTAAATTTGTTTTACTGTTGATTTTATTATAAAGTTGGAATCTCAGAAAATGTGCAAAAAGTTCATACGTGAAAGGGGGGAACCTCTGTAAATCCTGGCAGATACAGGTCACCCTGTGGAAGCACTGGGGTCCAGCACTGTGCTCTTGTCTTTTCACCTGCATCTGTGGCCCTGGGGGGAGATTCTCAGGACTAGCATTGCTACTTGCTTCTTTTCTGTATTTTATTTATTTATTTATTTATTTGAGATAGAGTCTCGCTCTGTCGCCCAGGCTGGAGTGCAGTGGCACAATCTCGGTTTACTGCAACCTCCGCCTCCCGGGTTCAAGCAATTCTCTTGCCTTAGCCTCCTGGGTAGCTGAAATTACAGGCAGGTGCCACCATGCCCAGCTAATTTTTTTAAAATGTATTTTTAGTAGAGGCAGGGTTCCACCATACTTGCCAGGCTGGTCTCAAACTCCTGACCTCGTGATCTGCCTGCCTCAACCTCCCAAAGTGCTGGGATTACAGGTGTGAGCCACCGCGCATGGCCCCTTTTCTGTATTTTAAATGTTAATATATACTGTCTGGTTGCCAACCCCTAAATGTGAAACACTTTATAATCCTGATATGCAATGTAGGAGAATTCTGTCCTTCATTCATCATCATGTGAAACATTTATTCACTTAAATTTTTATCAGTCTAAGCAGTTTAAATGAGATATGTTTTCCTTGGTTCACCATTGTTGAAATGCCTTCCCTTTTCAAGGTATAAGAAAAATTGATATTTCTCTATATCTGTGCCTATATATCTACACATGTCTATAGAGATATATCTGAGCACTTCTCCAAGATTAATATAATTGTGCTACACTTGTTTTCAAAGGTTTAGGATCATAAAATAAATTTTTCAAAAGCATTTCCTTTCTAAAATATTTTATTTAACCTATGTAACATACTAAGAAGTAAAATTTATGGCTTAATTTTCTTTTCTTGTGGAACGCCAGATACTGCTGCATTCTTTTTTTCATATACGTATACATGACAGGAAGGAACACATGAGAGTGAATATTTTTAAATACTTATAATGTGAAACTCATATGGGACACATCTGTGGAAGAGATGAACTGGAAATAAATCACAGGATTAAAATGGATCATTAATGATGGACAAGGGACTGGATATACTTCAGTGAGAAGAGGATCTTTTATTTCAGAAATGGGGCTAGGCACAGCGGCTCACACCTGTAACCCCAGCACTTTGAAAGGTCAAGGCGGGAGCATCGCTTGAGCCCAGGAGTTTGAGATTAGCCTGGGTAACATAAGGAGACCCCATCCCTACAAAAAATAAAATAAAAAATAAATAGCCGGGCGTGGTGGCGTGCGCCTGCAATCCCAGCTACTCAGGAGGCTGAGGCAGGAGAATCGCTTGAACCTGGGAGGCGGAGGTTGCAGTGGGTGAGCCGAGATCTCACCACTGCACTGCAGCCTGGGCGACAGGGTGAGACCCTGTCTCAAAACAAACAAACAAAAAACCTAAAAGACAATCCACAGAATTGGAGAGAATATTTTTTTTGAAAAGCTCGTTAAGTTTAAAACTCTTAAGTGTGGAATAAACAAAGTCAGGCAAGCACGGACAGGCGCCGGCAGACTGGAAGGGAACTCGAGCCTGCGTCCTGGGGGCTGTGAAGGGGCCTGGCGGAGCCTCCCGCAGCCCAGCGCGCTAAGCAGCCAGCGGCTCCCGGCGTCTGAGAACCCGGCAGAGGCTCCGGCGCGGCGGGGACACGCCCGGAGTCCCGAAAGTGAAGAACCAGGAGGGGATCCGGAGCCAGGACGCCAGGAGCAGCAGGGGAAGAGCGCGGTGGTCCGGCCGGGCAGGGCTGATCTGGAGCGCCGAGGTTCCCAGGACCGCGGCAGCCTGGCCACAGCCAGCAGCAGAGGGGGCCTAGGCCTGGGTGGCCGCCGGGAGCCGCAGCCCCACTCTCCAGGCAGCGCGGCCGCTCGCGACTGCAGCGCTGCCGGCGGGACCGCGCTCCCTCAGGACGGGGCTGCCCTGCAGCCGATCCGCGTGGCGGGAAGTGCGGGCAGGGTGCTCACGGGAAACCCGGGGACGGCGGCCGAGAGCATGGAGGCCTCGGAGCCCGGGCGCCCCCGCCGGTCCTCAGTGCCTCTGTTCTTTAAACCCTGCCACATCCTGAGACCCTGTCCCTACTCTGGCTGCTTTTGCTGACAGAAGCCGTCTCCTGCCACCTCCCAGCTCCTTCCCCGGAGGCTAACCCTTGGTCTTGGCCGACGGCTTGAGTGTCTCTCCTGATGGAGGGGCCTGGGCCTCTCGGGAGCTGGAACTGGAGACCTGCCCCGGCCTCGACGCCTCCCTTCTCCCCTCACATCCTCCCGCCCAGCTCCTCACACATCCGCACATGCCGTGGCTGGGGGAGGCGGAGACTCCAGGACCCCCAGGCGGGGGCTCCACACAAAGTAACCACAGTGGGAGCCACTCCCTGTCCCTGGGATGGGGACGGGGCTCCACGTTGTGTAGGAACCGGTGCAAGGGGCTCTGCCTCTCTTTCTCAAAGCGGGGGCTGCTGGCCCACCGGGGTCTCCCTCTCCACCTTCTCCCTCCTCCAGGGCGATGACAGGAGCGTGGGGCTCCTGCTGCGGGGTGAACTCTCCCTCCCCTCCCCGTGAGTTCCTCGCATCCCGTGATTCTGCCTCCTGCCCACGCAGGCTTGCAGTGAACAAAGGGCGCCCCAGGAAGCACAGTTTGGGTCAAGTTTGCCTTTCTTCATTGTAGGACAACCGCAGGAAGGGGAGGAGAATGGGGAGTTCTCCCGGCAGCCCCTTTTCCTGAAGCCCACCCCCAGTCTCCAGGACCCACCCAGCCTAGGAGGAAGTCGTGGTCCTAGGGGAGGGCAAAAACGCCTCGGGCCTATGGGTGTGCAGCGCCCCCAGCTCCCCCAGTTTCTGGGATCTGCGTTAGGTGGCCGCCCCTCCCTGCTTCTGCTGGGAAGATGCCATGGGCCTTCCATGGCCTCCTCTCCCCAGCCCAATGCCAAGTGGACGTGCGGATGCACAAAGCCGGCAAGGACCACTGTGTCTCCAAGACCTGGCGTGTAGAGGCAGGAGCATGAGCATCTGACAGGCGAGTGAGAGAGTGAGATGGGGCAGGCGGCGTGTCCTCAGGTGTCTCTGGGCCTGTGTGCAGTGGGCCCCTGTGGGCCTGTGCAGAGCCCTCTTCCCCTGATAATTTCCTCAAAACCCACAGTGAGAGGAGAGGGCCCTGGGGGAAGAGAAGTTCCTTCCCTTGTCTTTGAAATGAATTCCTCCTTCCCGAATCTCTGAGTGGGGGAAGCCCAGCCATGTGCCTTTGTAGTGTGCAGAGTAGAAGGTAAGGGGCTGGTGTAGCCTAGGTGGGGGCCAACATTGGGTCTGCAGCTCACTGGGGGTAAGGGATGGGGGAAGGCTACGTCATTCCAGACATATTTTCTTCCCCCATCTGTGTCTGGGGCTGCAGAATAGGGTGCCAGAAGGACCCTGTTTCACCCACGTTGTGTGTGTCTCACTGAGGGGGCTCTCCCTGCAGGTCTCCCCCTCACATAAAGCCCCTTTGAAACAAGGAAGAGGGTCCCTGGGCTACAAAATGGAAAGCACAGCCTCCAGGATGCGGAGGGGAATGATGGTGCTGTATTCAAGTTCCTTCTCTCTGGTGGTTGGTGGCTGTGACAACCCTGGCCTGACTTTATTCATCTCTGGTTTTTCTTGCCACCCCTCTGTCCCCCTCCCATTGTCACCCTGAGTCCAAACAGGCCCTACCGTTGACCTCCTGTCCCTTTGCGCACTTGTAACCTGCAGGTGAGGGACAGGACCTGTTCAGTCATTAGTCATCATAAGTATTTTGTCAACTGTTTGTTAATGCATTTGGGCATATTTGCCCAAAATCAGAGGTTGAGGAAATGAGTAATTAACTGTGGGCGAGGAGCTCCTGCCTGACGAATCCTTTTCCATTTGGGCCCCAGCTTGGGTGGAAGGGGGTAGAATATCTTGTATTGGGCAGTTTGGGGGCTGGGGAGGCAGAGAATCTCCTGGGAAATTATCTTGGGAGGCTTGGGGGTGATGCTGGTGCATTCTGTTTCCTCTTGCTCTCAAAGTACAATGCAGATTTGGGGACCAAAGGTCAGGGACACATCCCATTAGAAGACCTTCATTTGGGAGAGTGGTCAGTGGTGGGAGGAGGGCCCAGAGCAGCAGGAAACAGCCTGTTGTGGCTCAGCTTAGTTTTCCTTCCCAGACAAGGGGAGCCAGCCATGGAATCTTGCTCAGGCGCTCCCTCTACTCTTTCTGTCCTCAAAGTAGGGGCCATTTTCTTACACATCCCCAGAGAGAGAAAGGACCTTCACACTGGTGCTGAGGGGCCCAGGGCTGCTGGGCCTCTTTGTTCCCTACCAGAGCCATCCATCCTTAGAAGATCACAGAGCCCTGAAAGCTGGTCTTCTCTACAGTTCCCAGAGGTCTTTCAGCCAATCTACTCCCAGGAAGGAAGATGCCTGGAAGCTACAATGTGAATATAACTTTGTGGACCAATAATAAAACGCAGGAAGCCCAAGGGTGAGAAAAGTGAACTCTTCTAACACTGCTTCCTGTTTCCTCCCCTTCATGTTCCTTCAGGGAAACTGCTTTATTGCTGAATTTCTGCCTTTCCCGCCTCACGTATGCACTTTTGGGCCTTTTCTTGTAGCTAGAAAAAATCAAAAACCCACCCCACAAACCAGTATTTAAAAAGAAACAGAAATGACCGTGTGAAATGTGCCTCTGCGCACATCATCAGAGGGTGTGTCTGTGTGTGTGTGTGTGGCCACTCATTCATCTCTTTATATGGGCTATTGTCTTATTTCAGTCTATTTTGGTTTCCCCTCTAGGGCTTTGCTCGGGATCAAACCTTTCTGTCCTGTTATGATTCTGAACACCTGGTTTGAACCACAAGGGAATCTTTCTCCTGGTGACTCAAATAAAAATATAATTAAAAAAATAAAAAATAAAGTATAATACAACAAGTGTACAGGGAATAAGATAGAAATTGTTTACTTAAAAGATTAATGTATAAATAATATTTAAAAGCATTGTCTTGAGAAATAGTTTGATAACCTTTCCATCTGAATAAAAGATGAGACTGTCAAGTACAGCATCTCTTTCACTGCTAATAGAAAAGAATCCAAACTTTCTGTGAAGGTAAGTAGACCCCACATCAAAGAAAAGACAGGCGTGTTACTAATTCAAGGCTACATGGAGATTTTGTTGTTTTTGTTTTTGTATTTTTTTGAGACAGAGTTTTGTTCTTGTTGCCCAGGCTGGAGTGCAATGGCTTGATCTTGGCTCACCGCAACCTCCGCCTCCGTGTTCAAGTGATTCCCCCACCTCAGCCTCCCGAGAAGCTGAGATTACAGGCATGCACCACCATGCCCGTCTAATTTTTTGTATTTTCAGTAGAGATGGGGTTTCCCCACGTTGGTCAGACTGGTCTCGAACTCCTGACTTCAGATGATCCACCTGCCTCAGCCTCCCAAAGTGCTGGGATTATAGGCGTGAGCCACCACACCTGGCCAGATGGTTTTTAAAAAAATACAATTCAGTCAGTCCTCGTTAAAATATAAACAGTTGGAAATGTAATGCTAAACTCATTTAAAACTGATTTTTAAAAATGTCTCTTTAAAAATATTTTTAAGATTTAGGGGATGGGAGCAGTGGCTCACGCTTGTAATCCCACCACTTTGGGAAGCCGAGTCGGGTGGATCACAAGGTCAGGAGTTCAAGACCAGCCTGGCCAAGATGGTGAAATCCCGTCTCTATTTAAAAAACAAAAAAATTAGCTGGGCATGGTGGCAGGCGCCTGTAATCCTCACTACTCGGAGGCTGAAGCAAAGAATTGCTTGAACCTGGGAGGCAGAGGTTCCAGTGAGCTGAGATCGCACCACTGCACTCCAGAAACAAAAAACAAAAACAAGAACAACCCAAAACGATTTAGGTATACTTTCAAATCTATTTTAATTTTAAAAAGCTATGAAAAGATTGACATGGCCATTACGTATATTGTTTAAAAAACTTTAAAATTAGACCAATATAAGTTATGAATTTGTAAATAAATTTAGAATATAAGTATGCAAGATTACTGTAGATTATTTATTTATTTATTTTTGCTTACCCTACCTAGACTGAGACTGTAGATTCTTTATTTGGTGAATATAGAATATGCCAATAAGGAAACCAAGTAATCCTAGCCAGATTTGATGGCTGATGCCTGTAATCCCAGCACTTTGGGAGGCCGAGGTCGGCAGACTGCTGGAGCCCAGGATTTCGAGACCAGCCTAGGCAAGACAGCAAAACCTCATCTCTACAAAATTTACAAAAAGCGGGGCGTGCGTGTAGCCACAGCTACTTGGGAAACTGAGGTTGGAGGACCCTTGAGCCTGGGAAGTCGAGGCTGCAGTGAGCCGTGTTCTCCCTCCTGCTCTCCAGCCTGGGCGATAGAATGAGACTCTGTCTCAAAAAAACAAAAAAAATCATCATCTGAAACATCAAAGATTAAATGAGACGACTACATTCACTGAGCACATTATTCTATACCCTTGTAAATGTCTCATAAGTAAATCAACTTAGAAAAATCTGTTCTGTCAGATGACATTTTGATGATTTGTGATGACAACAATCATGAAACGGATTTCCAGGCAGTTTCTCCCTGATGGACTCAAAAGTGTTCTCTGTGAAAGACCCTGAGCCAGACCAAGAAGCATCCAGGCCCGTCAGAAACATGGCAGACAGAGCAAGAGGGAGGCCAGAGGAGAGGTCAGAGCCCAGGCGGGATACAGCACAATGCCACCGCCATGGGTTTCCGGCAAGGGGTGCCAAACGGGTGACTTGGCCAGAAAGGCCAGCGTTGGAGTGACCTAGATCCTTGTCACGTCCCGTTCTCGGCTTCTTCTCCAAGCCTGTGTCGCGGCGGGGCTCCATCTCTCAATGGGAAGAGAGGGTGGGAGGAGTTAGAACCATCTTCTTGGAGGTCGGTCTGCACCCCTCCTGCAGGAGGACAATGAGCTCCTGTGATGCTTTTTAAAATACTGTCCTTGGGTGTGCTGCGGCCGTCTTGATCCTAGAAAAGAGGCCTCTCAGGATGGGGAGTAGATTTCAACCCCTGCAGGTCCATCGCAGCTACCCACATTGCCAAGGCCTTCACAAACCCAAACTGGAACCGCAGGGAAAAAGAGGGACAACTGGTCACACGTCCCAGGCAGACACAGAAGGCGGCTCACCACACACAGGCCGACATGCAAGAAACAGCCCTCCAGCGCACAGGGCACCTTCATCCCAAAACACACACTCACATGGGCACATACAGCCACAGAGGGAGAGAGAGAGGGAGAGAGGAGAGAAAGAGAGAGCCAGGAGAGAAAGAAAGACACACACACAGACATACAGCAGCGGCACAGAAACACCCACCCCAGGCAGCCCTTGAGGCTGCAGGGTTCTGCTCTCCGCGAGAACGACAATCGGGTAAGAGAGCAGCCCATGGGCATACTGCAGGCCTGTCCTCGAGATCAGAGAGGGCGCGAGTTGGAGGCAGACTCGCCCGCACACCGTCTGGGCAGGCCTGAGGCTGGGATCCCGCGCTGCTTCCCTGGGACTCCGCCTGAAATTTCTTCATCCTGGTGCGCTCTCCGCGACTCCCGGCATCCGGAGAACGTCCTGTCGACCACGTGGAGACGTCAGGCTGGAGCCTCGACACCTACCTACTGCTACGAATGGGTCCTGCTTTGCGACACCTCACAGACGCATCACCAGGCGGACCGTGGAGATCCCTGTGACTCTAGAATCAGCTCGCGCCTTGCGCATGCGCATTGGCTGCGCCGACTGAAGCTCTGCTCCTGGAACTTACGCTGGGGCCTCTTTAAAAAATGCCGGTGGCCTGGCGGTAGCAGCAAGGCTGCAATGGCAAGGGTCGGGGAAGCGTGGGGCGGGTAGCGGGAGGTATGAGAGAGTAGGCTGCAGGCAACCCAGAGGCAGACAGTTCCCTAGGAGTCCTGTCCTCCTTGAACTGTCTAGGATAATACATGTAATTATGAATTTAT